TGTAGTACCAAGGCTTTATAAATTGGTTGTATAGAAAATACAGGAAAACTCCAGGTGTATATGTGGTCCTCGACTTACGACCACAATTGAGCCCAAAATTTATGTTGCTAAGCAAGATAGTTGAGTTTTGCCCCATTTCGCAACCTTTCTTGCCACAGTTGTTAAGTGAATCACTGCAGTTGTTAAGTAAATCAATGGTTGTTAAATGAAACTTCCCCATTGCTTGTCAGAAAATAGCTCACATGACCCTGTAAAATAGATCACATGACCCTGGAAAACATCAACCATCATAAATAAGAGCCAGTTGCCAAAGATCTGAATTATGATTGCATTACCATGGGGATGCTGCAACGGTTGTAAGTGTGAAAAAAGTCATACTTTTCCAGTGCCATCGTAACTTTCAATGGTCACTAAACAAGTGATTCTAAGTCCAAAACTGTCTCTATTGCCCTTAATTTCATATGAGAAAATATAGAATATAGGGTAGAAATATAAACAAAAGACAAAAAGGAAAAAAATGTCTTATGAAACAAAAAAACATTTTGTTGTGAGAAATCATTGTTTCCATTGCATTTAAATTTGACATTGACTTATCTGACACTAGAAAGTGTCACATGAAATTAAATTTAATTAAATTAATTAAATTAAATTAAATTAAATTAAATTAAATTAAATTAAATTAAATTAAATAATTAAATTTTTGCTTTAAGGGCCACCCAACTCCAGAAAATTAAGGTACTCTGAACTGGTTACTTGTTTAGTTTGAATTTTGTAAATTTATTTAGTGCATTACAAACTTTGTCATCTTGATGTAATAATTAAGCATGGCATGAATTCATTACTCATTATCACAGGCCTCCACCGTCCCTAAAAAGACAAGTTCTTCTGTTTATTTCATTCTTACATTTTGAGTTTATGCTTTTATAAAATAGATTTTTTAAGTATTAAGTACACATTCACGTACATTATGGGTAAATACATTGTTAGGCTGTCACTTGAAAATGATACTATGGATTGACACACAAGCAACTACAGTCAGAGATGGTTGTACTGATTTGTCACAGAAGGATAACAGTTAAAAAATGGGAAAAATGGCCAAAGAAATTGGCCTATATAGTTTCCTTACTACCTCTTAAAAGGTCTTAATAGTTGGAGCGTCCATAAAAACATCTTTATTTCTTGAAAAATAAAAAGGTGCCTATTCCATTGAGAACAGATTACTACTAAGCAGTCTTCCGAAGTCTTTATCTGTACAAATTCAATTTGGGATTTCCCTAAAGAGACTAATACGGCCTGAGCAGTTTAATCCTTGTTCGTCTTATTTGTTTTCAGAACAATTCAATAATTTTACTGGTAACCCATATTTTAGCACATGCAGATTACTGACCTATTAACCTAATTACTTGAAATAAGGATTGGGGCGGGGGGGGGGGGTTGCTTCAACCATATATAATATTTTTAATTTAGGCTATTTTTCCCCCAAGCTAATACGTTGAAAATGTTTTTTTTTCTTAGATACTTTAGTATACAGTATTAATTGTGTTCTAGACATATGTAATAAGAACTTAAGAAAAATAGAATGCATTCATTTGTAGTACTACATATAAAAATATAGGTGCTGACCCAGAGATCATTTTATACCTTGTGATAAATTATTACTTATAAATAAAAAAATAGTGTGCAGTGGTGCCAGTTGCTAAAAAGTTGTGGACTCTAATTTATAGAAGAATGCATGTAGATACAGTTTTGCAACTATAACTGGTATTAGAAATGTCACTCAAACACGAGCTACTTCCTCTCAATTTAGATTCAGGATGGAGAATGGAATGAAGGAGAAGGGATTTGAAAGATAGATTTGAGGGAAGTCTAGAGTCCTAGATATAGTCCTTGGCTACTTATTTATTAGAGGAATAGGTTTATGAAGATATGCAATATTTAATGTTGGGGAAGTCTAAGATTGACAGCCTATGAATTGCTTGTAATAAGGCAGCCTGTTTTCAACCCATTTTAAGTTATTGAGGCAATGTTCATTTGATTCTTTGTTTAGATTATAATAGTGACTGTGTTGATCTGTGCCGATCATATATCTTCTCCATGTGCCACCTAGTTTCATTACCTCAGATATACAGAGGGTGGGGGGAGAATTTCCACTTTAGGAAAATATGTGGAATGGCAGCAGAATCAATAGCCTTCAAAGGTGACCTAAGTTAAAGAAGTTAGATTTTATTTTGAAAGGAGAAAGAAAAATAATAAATAAAAATTTTATTTATTTACTTGATTGGTATGGCTGCCCATTTGCCTTGGGTGGCATACAGGGATTAAAACCAGGGTGGATGAAAATCAATGATTTTTTTTAAAAAAATCAAAAAAATCAGATTTTTTTTATTTAAATCTGATTTTTTTTTATTTAAATCGGATTTTTTTGATTTTTATCGAATTTATTTTAATAAAAGACTTTTGGGGTAAAAATCTATCATAAGATAGTTTTCTATTTAAGATACATAAATAATTTAGTTTCTTCAGCATGAAATGGAGCTTAGTTATGTAGCATGAGGCTGTATATTCTGCAACACTGGGACTATCGGTGAGTCAACAGTGGGTCAAAGGAGTAGCAGAGATGACAGTTGCTCTTTAAAAATTATGATTTAAATTGAGTTGATTTAAATCAAGCCTTTTTACTAGTGATTTAAATCATGATTTAAATCAAATCCACCCTGATTAAAACAACAACTACAAAAAATAATCCTTGACACCCAGGTAAACAATGCATTCCAAATATGAATAACCGACAGCAGCAGAGCACACCTAATCTCCCACCTAAATACCTGGAGAAATAGCCAAGTCTTCAGAGCTTTGCAAAAGACTACTAGGGTCAAGATAATCCAGATCTCTAGAGAGATCTCCAAAGGGATCTCCATAGAGTTCATAACAGTAATTCATGTTCTGAGTGCTGTGAAAAGATCTTAGATCAGCATTCTTTCTAAGTTTGTTAAACTATGGCTCCCGTGATCCTTTTCCACCCTATTTGTGCTTTAGGAGCATTGGACATGAGAGGCAAAATTCTCCACATCCTGGAAAGTATCAAATTATATCTCTCTCCCAGATATATAAAATTGCCTTTTGTTGACAAATGTTAAAAAGAACTTCTATGCCAGATTTTTTTTTTTTAAAAAAATATTTGTCAGTAAAAATATGTAGGAGAATCTTCTCCAATCTGGTCTAACTAATCTGTCACACAATTCAAAATGAAAGATGTCCTTGTGAAGATTTTTTTTCTTCAATAGCAACACCATAGTACTTAGCACTTAGGTTTATATACTGCTTCACAGTGCTTTGCAGCCCTGTCTAAAGTGGTTTACAGAGTCAGTCTATTGCCCCCAACAATCTGGATCCTCATTTTACCCACCTCAGAAGGATGGAAGGCTGAGTCAACCTTGAGCTGCTCAGAATCAAACTGCTGACAGTCAGCAGAATTAGCCTGTAATACTGCTTTCTAACCACTGTGCCACCATGGATATATTACCGACCTTCAAAGGTTTCAGAGAGAGAAAATACCCATGAAACACTTTTGGTTGGTTTAGGATTAGTGTGCTCAAAAGGATGTAGTGTTTATGTGAATTTCCTGTTTGAGATGTCCATAACCAATAAGAATCATAATGACAGGTCTGTGTGTCAGAAAAAGGTCTTTACTCAGATGCTACCTACATTGTAATGCAAAGCTTTATGCCGCCCTCATCAATATTTCATCTTACAAGTTAAGGAATGTGGCAGATATAAATGAATAACTCTAAATAATACAATGTGTGTGTTTATTATTGTAGTTCTATGATAATATCTACCTTTACAGTTTATTAATTTTCATCAGATGAATGTTCCCTAATTATAGATGGCATGAATTACTTAACAGGATTAATGCCTTTATTAAAAAGATCAACATCTTCTATATTCTTTCATGTAAAATTCTGCCTGGTCTACATTATGTGTTCCATGATATCTCTAGGACAGTGGTGAAATCCAAATTTTTTTTACTACCGGTTCTGTGGGCGTGGCTTGGTGGGCGTGGTGTGGCTTGATGGGTGTGACAGGGGAAGGATACTGCAAAATCTCCATTCCCACCCCACTCTGGGGCCAGCCAGAGATGGCATTTGCCGGTTATCCGAACTACTCAAAGTTTCCGCTACCAGTTCTCCAAACTATTCAAAATTTCCGCTACCGGTTCTTCAGAACCTGATAGATTTCACCCCTGCTCTAGGATCATAATTTCAAATACTCCACCTTGAGGGGAAAAAACCCTTTTTCTTTCATTCTTTTGCTCAAAAATAAAAAGAACTAACGAATTTCTGTTCAAGAACTAAATTTTGCTTTGTAAAAGGTCTGTTTTGCACTTTTCTTTCTAAAAGATATGTTCTGCACTTTATGTTTATACATACAGAGAGATACACTGTCTTGAAACATATGAGAGGTGCATAAAAAGTTATGATTCCAATGTTATTACTTGCCAACAGATGGCAGTATTGATGCACCAGAAACTCTCATGTGTTCTTTAGCATCTGTTCTTTCATTTCATTAGGTGGGGCATAAAATGTGTGCTATTGCTCATGAAATGGAAGCCTGCAGTAAATATTCACTGGTGCCATATAAGTAGCACATTGTAATTTAATTTTTGAATGTTGAATGAGTTCCTCCAATTGAAATTTATTGCTGAATGCAGGTGGTTTATGGTGATGAGTAGGGAAAATCTCATGGCAATGGTTTCTTATTCCATCTTCCCTATATAGTAAGTCAAACTTAGCACTATGCAATTTCCTCTTTTTCCCAAAATAAAGGAATATTTTTGTGGGTATTTGTTTTACCCAAATGAAGAGATGGAAAAGTCTGTCCATTCATGGCCGAAGAGATGAAGTGTGGAGTTTTTTCATGACAGTTTTAAGAAGATTGTCAAATGTGGACACAATTGAATAGCGATTATATACGAGTAATAAAAGAGTTCATTTCAAGGATTATTTTTTCTGTTTATTTAAAAAATCCTTAGTTAAACTAAAGAGATGGAGATGTGGAGACATTACTTTACATTCAACTATCATAATTCAGATTCCCAATGCTAATTATACTCTTCTCTCCAAATATTTTGAACAATTGTTGGAACTGACAGAATTGTCTAGGAATCAATAAAATTTAAGCTACACTAACTACACATTGAAGTACTTTATTCATTACAAAATTCATTATTTTCTCACAACTGCTGTTGTCACTCTTTTGTATCTTTCTTCCTTTGACTCTTTGAACTCAAGACTCTCGAATCTTGCTGATGAGATTTTGTGCTGTAAGTGTTCTTGATTCTTCTTCATTTTCTGATGATTGAATTTCTCCAGAGTCTGTAATGAAGATGGGAATTCTCTTTTAAATACCTCTATTGTATTTTTCCCTCTCTGAAAGTCTTTCCAATCACTATTTGAAAAAAAAAATAATGGCGTAGCATCTCTGATACCTAGAAGAAGCACAGCCCGGCCTGGACATAAACAAGAGCTGCTCTCTACTAGCTACATGAAAAAAACACTTTGAAACAGAGCTTAGTATCCATTGGTCTATTTATACTGACAGCGTGTTTTACCTGCCTAAAACAGTTCTTGAAGAAATAGCTCCTCTTGTACATGCTTTCTTTCTCCCTTTCCACTTCTTCCCCACTACTCTTCTATTGAAAAATGTTGACCAGTGAAAGCTGACAAGAGAATAAATTATTCTAATAATACAGTTAATAATTCCCCAACTGTCCTTGTTCATCTTCCATCTGGATACACTTCTTAAAACGTATGCTTTTGTTTCACAACTGGTAGATTTTACATCAAAGAACCCAGATAAAACTGGTAGCTGAAGCAGGAAGCCTGGAGCTGGGCTATCGTGCACATGTTGTTGTACAAATGGAAGGTGTGAAACAAAAGCTTGAACAGTGTTTAAAGTCAGCCAAGGGTAAAAAAAAACCCCACTGTGGGCTCAGCAGCTCTGAGTGACAGTTCATGGAAGCTATCCTGAACTCCTCCATCAAATGGTTACCATGGGGGGTTGATATTCTAAGAAAAGAGGGGAAACCCTGTGCTTATCACTTTTGTAAGGGCAGAAACATTTTAGACTGTAAAAGGTGATGTAGGTCCCCAAAGCATGCAACTAGTTTTGTATGCCTAAGGAATGCTCAGAGATTGAATTTTGAACATGGTCCCTCCCCCATACCATATGGCAAATCTCTTTTGAAACCAAAGGGAGTTCCATAAGCAGTTTTTTGTAGAATAGGGGAGTCTTCTGTTCAAATGAAAAATGTCAAAAAAACCTCCCCTGGGCATGAGGGGAGGCTGAGGATGAATCTAACATTGCCCACTGGATTCTGGCCAGTGAAACTAATTATATCAGTAAAGCAAACAAGATTAGGTATGAGCAGTTATAATGGCTTTCAACGCATAATCCCTTGTATTTTTCTGGAGTACAATTCTTTTTGGAAACTGGACTTGGTATGAAATAATGTTGTGCTCATTTGAAATAAGACAAATTAAATTGTCTTATTTCATTTGAAATAAGACAAATAAGACTATTCCACTATACATGGACTATTAGTTTTATTTGGCCAGTTCTTTGAAATACCGGCTTACTTGGGGGTTGCTAAAAGTAACTATTAGGAACATTTTCTTATGACGTTCTGATATACACACGGAACCAACTTGTCCAAATGTGAGATGCTTCTTTCAATAGCAAAATTAAAACTGTCTCTGGGAGCTTAAGGTATAAATTTTAGTAATGCTACAAGGAAGAGATGCAGAGTAACCCCGTTACCTGGAATGAACTACAATGAAAGCTATTTATTTGGCACTTTTCTTTCCATGTATGGCTTTACTCTTTGCAAAATCAGAAGCAAAGTTTTGCTTGTGTAAGAAATTAGTGTAATCATTTGGTCATTTCCACATTCTCTTCCATAATCTTTCTCCAGCATAGACTATACACCCATCTTTTTCCAATATGTAGGCATAGGTGTCCACTGCTAATCACAATAATGGAAAAATGACAAAATGTATGTTGTGATACAAGGAAGTAAGTCATAGGGTTTGCACTGTGACAGTATGATGCATGCATGATCACTTCATCCCTTCACATGTACACACCCATGAACACTTTACTTGCAGGCTACTTGGTTTTGTTCCATATTTGCTGATGTGAAGTTGTTATCCCTTTGACAATTGCTTTGAACAGTTCAGTGGGCATTTTATTTGCACCTGGTGCTTTTTTATTTAATATTTGGTTTATTGCCTTTCTACTTTTTTTCCTGAAGCTTCAATTGGTTCAAAAGTTAGTAGTTTGTATACTGGTGAGAGGTGATGTAAACAGTGCTATACCAATACTGGTTATGCCGCATTTCTAGATACAAATCAAATTGGTTATTACCTATGTAAAATAAAATCCTTCATTTGAAATGTGATTTGTTATGCGGCATAAGGACTAGGCTCAATTTTTCTGTAAGTATCCTATTGGGAAAGGATTTACGATTTAATCAAATTTAAATCAGTAAATTTAGATCAATGTTTGCATTTAAGCTTATCTAGTATTACAGAACAAATCCCTACTCTTGATCTCTCAACAAAGAGATCAAGAAAGAAAAGAAAATTTGATTCCAGATGTCTGCTGCTTCATCTCTTTTCTCTACTCAAAGTCTCAAAGTTACAGAAGTGTGGAAGGACTGTGCCCCTTTACCAGCTCCTTCAGAATGTTTGGCTTCAGTTGCCATCTTCTCCTGTCTTTCTTTCTACTTAACCTCATTGCTTCTGAGGCATGGAAGAATTACACATTTGTTTAAAAGTTACTGATTGTGTATGTGTGTTGAAATCTTGCCAAGAAAACTGCAGGGAGTTGTCCAGGCAGTCACTGGAGTTAAGGAAAAAAACTCTTTTTCCTTAACTCCAGTGACTGCCTGGACAACTCCCTGCAGTTTTCTTGGCAAGATTTTTTGGAAGTGGTTTGCTACTTCCGAGGCTGAAAGAGAGAGAGAGAGAGAGAGAGAGAGAGTGGATAGCCCAAGCTCATCCAATTGACTTTGTGACTAAGGTTGGACTAGAATTCACAGTCTTGCAGTTTAGCCTTAATCACAACACCAAATTGGTTCCATCTACTGGTTTATGGGCTATAATTCCCAAACCTCTTTTTTTTTTTTACATACTTATTGTAAAAGTTCAAGCTAGCAGCATCTGAGAATTTGAAAACATCCCTAAATCTAGTGAATATTACTATTTATTTTACCTATTATTGAAACCTGGGACAGATCTTCCTGGAGAAAACCATTCTATATGGTTGACTTGATAGTATATAACCAATCAATTATCTATTACTTATTGAAATACCCATACATTTTCCATTATTGAGGTTTGAAAAACATATCCCTATCCTCCTCACCTTGCTACTCTTAGAAATGGAAGAGTTTGTGGGGTTGCACTGTTTTTTCATGCTGAATTAAAATTGTATCCCTTGCCACTGGACATTTCTGAATTCAGTACAACCTTATTTGAAATGATTGTAAGTGTCAAGTTTCGAGGTCGTCTCAAATAAATTGCATTTCAAACAAAGTCTTTGAAGAAAAACTCCCATTTATTAAGCACGACATTCTAGCTCCGACTCATCCCAGCCAACACTGACTTCCAGACCCAAACCCCTCCCTTTCCATTCCCCACTCCCCTGCACTCATTGGCCATCTTCCAAGTCACTCTACCCCTAATCTACTGCTCCAGCTCAAAGGAATTTCCCCCCTCCCATCCCATTTCCTAGGGGATATTATCTCCAGGGAAAATAAGTAGGTGAAAAGTCAAACGTCCCTTTTCAGGGGTCTCCATTTCTCCTTCTTATGTCAGCACTAGAGTAAATGCAGCTTGAAGTGCTGACAGTAAGATTTCATCAAACCGCTTCAGGTATTACTGGCAATGGTTTACCAGTCTCCAGGTGTTAACCCCAGCTTCCTTGAAGAATTTTCAGCCTGCATCAATATTTTAGTTGTCCCAGGGTTGTCCTGTTAGCTGTGGATTTCAGTATCTGCCCTGATAGTTATGGTTTTTCCCAGTAGCTTTTAAATCTTTGGCAACTTTGGCTATCTGTAAACCAACTTCAAACATTTGACTTAATTATAGAATTTTAGATCCAATATTTTATTATGTATTTCATATTGATAGGTTTGTTCATTATCCAGTGTACTTTTCATTGGTATTTCTTCTTCAGTGACTCAAACTATCTGAAACTAGTTTTTGCTATCACATCCCCAGCAAGTCAGTAAATTTGCTAAAGTATATGTTGAAGCCACAGGATCCTGGTCCTATTAAAAATGTATGCTACTAAACCAAGCTTTCCTCATCCTTTGCTTATTGAAACTCTTCATTCACAATACTCACTGGCCCAATGCCTAGAGAGCTATTAGTGGAAAACCCAGAATTTTTCACAGCTTAAAAGAGTTTACAGTTCTCTGGCTTCTTAGTAGCACTGAATTTACATAAGCAAAATTATTGTCCACAAATAATTTTGGCACAGGCGACCTGGCAACGTTTCAGGAGTTTTTAATCACTCCTGTCACTAACAGGTGACCATACTGTCTCCATTGATGAAGCTCCACCAGCAAATGCTCCAGATAATTTCTTTATAGCTAAGATTTGGGCTGTTTTACATGTCCTTCCCTGAGATTGTTCCTCCTCCCCTCAGCAAGGGTTTACTTTTGCCTCAGTTGTTTCTGTCAGCCATTTGAGGTAGACTAGATAGAAATCCAAAGCCATGAATACTAATACTATTTTTATTGTAAAGTTACAATAATAGAATCTTCTCCTTTTCAAAAATAAAAAATAATTAAAAAGCTACAAAGGAAAAAAACAAAACACCCATCGCTCCAACAACCAACACCCAGACAAAAAAAAAAAGACCAGCCAGAAAACAATAGCTTAATTAAGGAACTACTGAGAACACCTCCCCCACCCCAAAAAAATAACCTGGCAGGGCAAGGCTGCTATAAACAGAGTATTCACAGTGATGATGTTACCTAGTTGGGTAATGAGAAACCTGCAAACAACCAAGTTCAGAGAGCACCAAGGATTCTACAATTAGATCTAACTATAATTCAAGACAGTTTCCTCTGGGTTGTAAAATATTGATTATGTATTGTTGCATTTGAACTCTCTTGCATGGATGATGTTATCTAGGTAACATCATTACCTAGTTGGATAATGAAAAGTCTGCTAGCAAACAGCTAAACTTAGATACCACCAAGAACTTCACAGTTCAACACTGAGCAACAGATCTTCTCTTTTACTGACATATCTGACACAACGTACAACACATAGTTTGATTGGTAGATATCCCTTATGTTTAAAAAGAAATCCTGAAAACATATGCCTACCAATATATTTTGGAATTGTGTTTCTGAACTTCCACATTAGATGGATTCATTTTTTTTGCTGGATAGAATTTTTTGCTATCAATTTAGACCACAAGCTTCAGTTTCTGAAAAAGATACATATCAGATTATACAAGATGATGTTCTTTGCATTTTACAGATCAGTCCCTGCTGAGTAATTCGTTAAACTAACCTAGCCATCATTATCGTGGCTCTTATAATTATTACAACTTTATATGCTATGCAATCCTGCCAATAAACATATACATCACAAAAAAGAAAAATAACATTAAACCGTACAAGCAACATAGAGGTCTACTTGACTTTTTCCAAACTGGGTCAAAGCAAGCCATGGAAGCAATTAACCTTGTGCTTCATTAACAAGTAAATTAAATTCTGTGCATATTGAAGAGTTGGTGAATGTAACATTCTGCCTATGGAGCAGAGTTAAAGGGCATGAGTCAATTCTCCAATGCTTGCCAAAAGTGTTAATTTATTTTATGCACCAGTTAGTAAGTTAGTGGAGAAAAAAAAATCAATATTTCTGGCACATTTCATAAACTGAGAAATATTTCAGACTTGTCATGTTTGATAGATAAAGCGGTGGAAACTGCAAAGTGCATGTTGGGAAGCACAATTGCTCTTTAAATCTTGATAGATGATGTCACTGGGGATTTATGGAATAGCAGCATTTGGAACATATTGTTCAGAATACAAAATGTGTTTGAAGAAAGAATTCTTTTCAGTGTTTTGACCTTACTCTGAAACTGGGCAGTGAAATTCCATTTTGTCACTTGTAGTATCCTAAATAGGATGAAACTTCTCATTATGTTGCTTGTGGTTGTTTATTGGGTCCTTTTTTTTTTTTTTTGGTTCTGGAAACTATTCAAGGAAGGAGCACAATGGTGAGGAGAAATTGTGAACTCTTCATACAACTACCACTGGGTGCTTGTTTTACAAGAAAGAGCAACACAAAGCAATAGAAAAAGAAACATTTTTATAGAAGTTGAGAGCTACAAGGAGTGAAATCCTAGAGAACCGATTGATTGGCTGTATTGGGGAAGATGATCAGGTCCTTGGTGGTGTACCTGAGTTCAATTGTTAGGCAAAACAGGCCTTTTAGGAGTACAGCAAAGCCGTGAAAGTTCCTTATTAGGGAATATGGAATGTTGAAGTCAACAGGCTGACCTTGAAATGTTGGGATTTCTCTAGGTTCAATTCCTGTGTAAGGGCTTGGACTGTACCATTTACTGGGAAATGGTATAGTCCAAGGTAATTACAAATTCCCTTGGACTGTACTCTATTTACTGGTGAGGAAGTGTCTATGCTTTGGTTTAGATGGGATTGTAAGTGACTTTGTTGTGAGAGTCAGTTTGAGTCTACTAGAATCAGGCAAAGAAATGAACTGGATTTGACCCTACTTTTGTTCAAAAGCTTGGGGGGGGGTGGATTTTGCTGCCTCAATTTTATTTATTAAATTAATTTTCTCCACCCATTTTTCCCAGCAATTTTTTTTTTGCATGTATGAGTAGAGTCTTACATCATCAGATAGCCTCCTTAGCAGAAGAACATCAGTTCACTAGCCAAGGCTTTCCAGGCCAATGTAAGCAAGTTTTCGTTGACTCAGATGAACTTCTAGCAGAATGTTCTTCTCCTCAGCCATGCAAGCTGTAAAAACAGGCAAGTGTTTAACAGAGCAAATAATTCCTCTAGTGAGTTGGAATGACCATACTATTGAATTGCTTACATAAGTCTTCTGTTGGCTTTCAACAGTTGCAGAGACATTTTTCTACACAGGGTGCTGTATATCCTAAACTGCCAAGTTACACAGTCCTGTCGGCATGAACAACTGCTAGCATGGGAGCTGTGAATTATTTTGTAGCAGTACCTTGAAAGATATGAGTTTCCCATCCCTATTCAATTATTTTAAAAGGTGAGGACCTCTGCCAACAGGACTCCCTGGGAGCTATCCAAGGTCCTATTTTTTATTGCTCATTCCATCCAAAACCTCTGCCTGATTTGTTCATCTTGCTGGCTCAGATTATTGCTACCTTTTCTGACACCACTGACTCCTCCGGCAAATCGCAGGCATTCTTAGAAATGTGTATATTCAAGTTCAGTAGCACTGCAGCAGATGTAGTGTCACAATATAATTTCAGCCATGACAGTTGGATGCTGGATGATTATTTAGCCAGTATTTTCCAATCTGGGCAGTCTGTGGATCTGAAATGTGGAAAAGCAAATATAGACTCTAGTGTTAGTCAGTGAGTGAGGCTATACGTCAATCTTATACCTACCATCGTACACTTGACAGTAAGTGTCATTGAGGTCAACAAGACTTATTTCTAAATAGGCAGAAATATGATTGTAAATAATTCAGGAGGATGAATGCAGCAGCCAAATAACAGGCTCAAATGTTATTCAGAACGTGTAAAATTAATACAATTTATTATTTTTCTGTAAAAATTATTCCATCAGACAGATTTGTTTTTGCCTTTTACATCAAATAACTGGAAGAACCCTAGGCCTATATATTTATGGTATTTACACTGAAAGTGGTTTATATGCACCTATCGTATATGCATGGGTAGTAAATTCATTTCATTCCTTCATTAAGTTAATTCATTGGTTTCTTGTAATTCCAGATCATTTATCTACAAGTTAAAAAATGAACACCAGGGGATCCAACTTTGAGCATCATTCCATAAATTCCTGTTGGAATCATACTGAGTATTTTCCAGTCCTGATGAAAAAGCGCCTTCTTAAAGAGAAGCTACATATTTCTTATCAGAAAGTCAGTAAATTTACTTTTTAGTTTATAGGTCAATTAATCTTATGATTTCTTAACTTATTAGTTGGTTTCTGTCCATTCAGTTCACTCCTGAAAAAGTGAACTCAGACAAAGGCGTCTGTCTTAGATCCTTATCAGTGAAAACAAATGCAAAAACAATCATTTACTTATTTATAATTAATGTATCATCTTTTAACATTTTACATCCTATCAGCCAATAGTCTTCTGGAACAATTTCCTATTTCAACTATATTTAAATAAAATTTGTTGCTTGTCTTAATGTTTTTTATTATATGCTCCTCAAACCTTTTCTGCAACTTTTATTGAATGCCTGCATTTCTTTTATTTTTTGATCAAATACTATGTTCCTTTTTATTCTTGACTGAGCAAGAGTTCCATTTAAAAAAGAATAGTTAGATATTAGTTAGATATTAGGTTATCTAACTCTGTTCATTAGTAACTGTGAGTTGTGTATTCCTATTGAGAATCTATTATTGTGATTTTAAATAATCTACAAGATTTCTAGAGAGACCCTTTTTATTCTATCAGCTTCTTAACTAATACCCTTATTCCTTTGGAATGTTATTCTATTGAAATCAAATATTATTTTGACAATGATACACTGTCTTACTGAGCATAGAACAATATTAGGAACATTGTTTCAAACTAGACTAGTAGTTTTTATGATGTACAATATTAGACCCTGGGAACTTCTTAGGATGAATTTAGGGCTACATCCTAAATGAACTGTTCTGAAGCAAAATCATTTAGTATTATTAGAAAGATGATCACTTTGACACATCCAGAACATACATTTTCCCAATCTATGTGCACAGAAATGAAAATTGCTTGTACCGCTTCATTTGCAGGCATTTAGTTTTCTACCAACTTTTTAAACATTTTTAAGGGAACATTGTTCTCGATGTTCCTTTCATATAGAACCTCCCATGGTATCTATAGGAAATGATCAGGCTGAACCTGAAGGAGGGGTCAAAAGAGCCTTGGTAGTACAGTGGTCTAAAGCACCCTGTTATTAAGAACAGCTGCCTGCAATTACTGCAGGTTCGAATCTCGCCAAGGCTCAAGGTTGACTCAGCCTTCCATCTTTTTAAAGGTAAATTGAGGACCCAGTTGTGGGGGCAATAAGCTGACTTTGTATAAATATACAAAAGAATGAAGCATTGTAAGCCGCCCTGAGTCTCCGGAGAAGGGCGGCATATAAATCAAATTAAAAAAAAAAAAGAACTATCAGTCATGAGTCCCTGCACATCCACAAGAGATCTAAGTCCAACCCACCTTGAATTCCTTTCTATTCTTAACTCCCACTAATTTCCCTTAACCGTTAGTAGTTTGGATTCTTGTAGAGAGCTTAAGTTTGCAATTAATCGCTATACTCATTTGAACTGCCTGAATCTCCTTACTTCCCGGCACTTGACAGTATCATGTTGGTTTTCTCCATTCTACCACATGTTCATTATATCTACATCCTCTTCTAGCAATAAGTGCTCCAGTTCTCTTATCTTGGCCCTCTGGTACCTACGTATAAATGTTTATATAAAGCTTTCCCTCTGACCCCCCTGCCCCCATTTCCAATATCCTTATCACTATAGCCTTGAGGCTTTCTCACTGGAATATACAACTTTCCAAATTTGCAACATTCCTCTTTGAACAATGATAATTTTTACTCTTATTCTTCGGGATCATCTTTCTCAAACCAGATATTCCCTGTCTCCTGTCAACTTCTCACACTCATTCACCAAAGTCAAATTAAAAGCTGCTCTACTGTTTTGAAATTAAGAGCCAGGATTTTGATACATTTCTGATGCAGCACTTTCTTTTATAGAAGCCTGGTTTCTCTTAAAAGATAACCTAGGGCCTTACACTAGGAGCTTTCAAGGGATACAAGGGACATATACACTACACCCAAGTGGTGCACTAGTTAGTAGCTAATAACCTGCAGAAAGAGAAAAAGGCTAAAATGCAATTGGGAATTTTGTTTAACAGTTAAAAGCAGCAAAAATATATATGCCTCCTGACTCCAAGTGACTTTGTAATATATAGAAGAGTACATTGTGATTTCAGCAAAGCATACAATTCATTACTCTGTGCTGTTCTAATAGAGAATGTAGAAAATTGTGAACTGGATTGTATTACATTAGAAGAATACAGAGTTGGTTGAACAATTGCACCCACAACTATAGAAGCCTGAGAAAATGATCAGTCAGGGCCCTGGTCTACCTTGCCATTCAAGATATTTATAAATTAATTTGAATGAAGGGATGGAAAATATAATTATCATAATAGGCGAAGGGATATAAGGGGGATATCAACACCTTGGGAGAACAGTATTAATATTCAAAGCAATCTTGATCTGTAAGAATGAGAGGAACCAACACAATGAATTTCAAAAGAAATACATGCAAAATCCTGTATTTGGATGGAAAAATTAAATACATGAGCGTAGGATGGTGTGAAAGGAGAACAATATTAGGTAGCAATGCATGCAGAAAGAAGCTGTGCGTCTTGATAGAGCAGAAACCAATAACGTGATATAGCTGTCAAAAACAGCATATACAGTATATATAGGCACATAGCCCGTGCCTACAGTCAGTTTCACATAGATGACAGTACAAATCACTACACAATTATAATTATGACTAATGACTATTTCTTTTTTACAAACCATGATTTTAAAGAGTGGAAGTTGTACATAGTTGGCCCCAAAGTACAGTTGCATGTGATAACAGGTTCCTATGTGACCCACTATTTTCCTACTGTTCTATCTGACTGTCAATCTCCTTTCATCCAAAGGATTGTTGATTTCTTGCTGCCCTTCCTAACACACATTCCGTGAGGGTCTCTGCCTATTGTGAGAGATGCAAAGCAATGAAAAGCACTGAGACAAGCAATGCTATTCAAGCTCACTAGCTCATGAAAATGCCTTGAGAACTATAAAAGGAGCCCACTAAATCATGGTCTTAAAGGAAACAGGCTCCTCAGTGGAACTTACAATTATAGACTGAAACCCTTTTTAAAAAACAGCCACCAACACAAAGCACCTTTCTGAATGCAAATGCTATTGAAGCATTCTCTCTCCCAAGTAATACACCTTAGACTATATTCTCTCTGTGTGCCTGTGTGCGGGTGCACTCATGCATGTGTGTGTTAAGGCAGGAGGGAAGATAAATGCACTCTAACCTATTTGGCAACTATTCCTGCAAATTTTGCATTACTTTTAAGAGGTATGTGGTGAAACAAATGTCTTGCATCGATGATGACAAAGGTAAACAATCCAGAAAGCTGCTGTTTTGTAGATTATTGTTTGAAATTACTTTGTCTTTAATAAGAAAAAATATTTTAAAAATAACTTTTAAAAAGGAACAAATATGTAGAAAGGGAAAAGATATACAGAATGCTGGTAAAAGAAAACTTGGATTGTGAAGAATAAAAGGAACAGCAAGTAACTGCAGATATCCTTAAAATAACCTAGCTTGTTTTCTGTGGAAAGAAAGGGGAAATCATTGTAAAGACTAAAGCTTGAGCAAAAGTACAGGCCGACTTAGGCACTGAATAGATACCATCAGGGAAGAATGTGTAGTATATTTCTATCTGTTGGGGAACCTGATTTATCTACAACACAAAACATTTTATCATCAGGTCTTCCTAACCTCTCCTTGCCTCTCAAGTCTCTTACAGCCATAAACCTGAGGGCCAGACATGTTGGAAGATGTGAAAGTTCGGGTTAGGGATAAACTGTTAAGGAGAAAATCTATGTCATTGATAATAGTTGACACTGATTTGATGGCACATAATCAATCAACCATGTCCTAATTTGTTAAGGCGCAAGTAAAAATGCTGAAAGCCATTATCAATATGGCAGCTAAATTATTAACTAGGATCAGAAAGATCCAGATTGAAGCCATTCTCAATCAACCTTAGCAACTCACGGTGTGTAACTATCACTTAGGCCATCTTATCTCACAGAATTGCTGAAACATTGGAGGCTGAAGCACTATAATCACTATCTTGAATTCCTGAAGGAAAGATGAATACAATTTTAAAGAATGATAAAAAAAAACTCTTGGGAAGGTTCATGAAAAGGAGAAATCATGGTTTTAAAAACTATTTTTAATATTTCCCTGGGGTATTTATTTCACTGCTTCTTTTATTCAAATTATGTTTGCCTTCTGCTATATGGACTTCGGTAATTCATACGATACTCTATACCATTTATAGGAAGTGAACAACTAATCTTAATTTGTGACCACAGACATAAGACCCATGCTTAAATAATCTAAATACCAGATATTCATACCTAGCACAATTTGAACCGAGACCTTATAGTATCCAGAAGCATCTTGCTCAGTGCTCTTGGCTCTCTGGAGCCAGACAAGTCAAGAGGTTTTCAAGAAGAGACTAGACAACCATTTCTTTGGAATGTATTGGTATAGGGTCTCCTGCTCCAGCAGAGGGTTGGACTAGAAGATCTATACGGTCCCTTCTAACCCCATTATTCTGTTCTGTGAGCCAATGTTTGAATGTGGGGTTGTTAGCACAAAGCAAATGCACTACCATAGACCTGCAGTCCTCCTTTTGGTAATAGTATCTGAAATAAGTTACTGTAGATCAAATCCTACTGTTGCAGGTTACACCATAGGGCTTGTCAGATTTAAATTAATGAAGGAGATTTTCCTATTGCCACAAGTTCCTCCTGATTTAAAACTATCCCCCAAGCTATATTGCTTGGGGGATATATTGTATTGGGATATTGCATATACTATATTGTATTGGGAAGTGCTTTGTGGGCATTCTTGAAAATTAAGCTGAGACGTGTTCCATAGACATAAGTATTTTTTTTCCTATATGGACCAACATGTTGAAGACATTGTTTCTTCATTTCTCTTCTATTCTCTCTAGGTCGTATCCTTCAACATGTCTGAACAATTGGGAAAAGTCTGGATTTATGCAGCAGAGAATTTTCTAACAATTTAGTAACATCGAAAAAGCTGCATGCTATTTGGCTATGATTGATTCTTTTAATCAGTTACTGAGAGGTTTAAAATACAGGATGTGCTTATTGGATAAACTTTGTTCAAAATCTTTTACCATTAAAAATACATTTTTGTATCATTGGACTGATCTCTGTTTTGTTTAGGGAAACCTGAGCAGGGGAGGAAAAAAACGGGAACAGAGACAGAGAAAGAGAAAGGGAAGCTCACATAATGGAAGGTTATCTCCTTTCTAAACAGAACTTCTAAAAAGCTAGAACATAAGGAGGAGTGGATTTTATTCCATTTTACTTTTTTTTTTTTTACTTTTTTTAAAAATTATTATTATTTTTAAATTTGATTTATATGCCGCCCTTCTCCGGAGACTCAGGGCAGCTTACAATGCGTTAAGCAATAGCCTTCATACTTTTGTATATTTATACAAAGTCAGCTTATTGCCCCCACAAACTGGGTCCTCAATTTACCCACCTTAGAAAGGATGGAAGGCTGAGTCGACCTTGAGCCTGGTGAGAATTGAACTCACAGTAATTGCAGGCAGCTGGATGTTAAATGCTGCCTTTTATGTTTTTCAGATATGAAATTCCAGGAGTCACTTTAGAGTTCCATGGTATAAAACTACAACAAACAGACATTTCCCAGAGCAACTATCATTAGTTGAAAAGAACACAAGGCTAAATGGTCAGATTGATTTTCCTGGGGTAATAATGAATGCATTATTTTATAAACAAGTTTTCCTGACCACCGTCCAACCTTATTTATTACCAGAAAAATCAAATCATCATTTAACAATATGGTAGGAAGCTAGGAGAAATGGAACTAAAGGAAACACAGCCTTTATACAAAGTGACGATGATTGTAGTGGAGAAGCAAAATAAATGGCAACAATCATATCGTATCACAGACTATGTAAAAAGGGAGCAGTTTCTGCAAGTTTGGCCATCTGGGCTGTGTTTGGTCTCTCTCTTGATAAAGCGACTATGAGAGTTTTTGTTAAGCAAAGAATGAAGGGAGATGGGATTATTTTGTGTTAATGCTCTAGATTTAGAGTGATGCTTTCCAGAAGTGACACATTACTGTTTATCTATTTTACCCATTGTGTATTTTACTTTTATTTTCTGTGATATCAGAGTAATCAATTTATAAATTAGTACTACTTTACTGTCATCAGAGTAATCAATTTATAAATTAGTACTACTTTACTGTTAAGAGTCTAATGAAAGAGACTTTGGGAAGAAAAAATAATAATGCCATAGTAGAAAATATGGAAGAGCATTTCCTGGAAGGACTTTGTCATGTTCTGGGAGAACTGAAACTGTTCTCCATGTCAGCCTATTTCTGAAGCTCATAAAGTGATAATGGCTTTTAATTTGAAACAGTAGAGAGGGAAGGGATGAGACAAGGCCCCTGTTGTAGAGATGATTGTATTCCCCTTTGTGAGGAAATGCTTTTAAATTGCCACGCTCCTAGATTCAGGTCACTAGAAATTGGATACAGAAGGAAAATGCATAGACTCGGCACAGCCTTGCTGTACTTCCTCATATGCCCATTTGGCAGCTGTCCTACAAAACTGAATGGTTGGGAATTTAAAGCTCCAATTAAAGAAAAAGCAGCCTAGCACACAATCCTCAATTATAAGCATCTTTAATGACTATACGCACCTGAGGGATCACATAAAATTTGCATGAGATTTTCACAGTGAGATATTTTTTTTAAAAAAATCAGGCATCTCAGTAAGACGCAGTCTGATTCTGACATGAATCTGGCCAGATGAAATGCCACCTGAAGATTAGCTCTGATGTTGCATAGTAGCCTGAGAGCACATCCTTCACCTAAAATATGGGTGTAAAACTTAAAACATATTTAATATTTATTTAAATATTTAAAACATATTTAAAACAAAGAAGAGGGAATCAAGCTATTCTCCAAAGCACCTGAGGGTAGGACAAGAAGCAATGGGTGGAGAGAAGCAACTTAGAACGAAGGAGAAATTTCCTGACAGAACAATTAATCAGTGGAACAACTTGCCTCCAGAAGTTATGAATGCTCCAACACTGTAAGTTTTTAAGAAGAGATTGGACAACCATTTGTCTGAAGTGGTGTTGGGTTTCCTGTCTAGGCAGGGGGTTGGATTAGAAGACCTCCAAAGTCCCTTCCAACTCTGTTATTCTATGTTCTATATTTCCAACAAAATTAAAAATCTGTTGGAATAGTGCTGTAAACAAAGAGAAAACTCTTTACTATGTGTCATGAGACGTATCGCAATGGGTGGGCGTGGCCAATGCGTGATGCATCCGGCCTGCGGGCCGCGAGTTTGACACCCCTGCTTTAGCTTGAACAAAAATATAAAATGTTTCCGAGCATATGAGAGAGACCCCAGACACATCAGTTTTCTCATGATAGCAATGTTTGGAGAGCTGTAATGATGTAAACAAGAAACAGGGCTGACAATCTAAAATCCTTGATAGTTTTGTGACGTTATATCTACACAGGAACATAGATTTAAGCATTTTTCCTACTGAAATGTTGTAGAGCACAAAATACTGCTTTAAGAAACATTAAGTTTTAAGATCTGGATTTTTACAACTGAAGGAAATTGCCACGTGAAAGAAGTCTTAGAAAGGTTACAGGTTTTTTTGCAAATTTAACTGGATACCTCACCAATGATTTAAAAATACTAAAATATTGTTATCACACTTTTTTAATTGAAAAGCCCTCAAGCCCATTATGATGGACACTATCCATCCTGAGATTTGAGATTGATGATTTGACTTTTACAGACAGGTGACCTAGTCTTATGTAGCTTTTGATTCTCTCAAGCATTTGGTCCAGTGGATCATTTTACTATACCTCACAGACTTTTGGCCTGATCCAGCAAGTATCCTGAGGTTTTAAAATATGAGGAATATGGAGCACAGTGGCTCATGTGGTTAGGATGCTGGTGTTGGAGGTTAGCAACCCCCGTTCAAAACCCGAGCGCTGCTGTGTGGTGGGGTAAATTCCCATCATTTGCTCTAGCTCCTTGGAGGGACATGAAAGGAGTCCCCGCACCCAGCATCCCCAGAGCAATAATGATGTCACCAACTAATCTTTTCAACCGGAAGCACCTTAAAAGATGCCTCCAACAAGAACAGGATGGGAATATGAGGAATGTGAACTTGGCAATTATTAATTAAATAGATATTAATTGAAGAGTAATTTAGTAAAAACAGCTTGTCAGAATACCCACCATGAAGCAGTTAAAAGTAACTACATCTAAATCTGAAAAGTAATATTCAAGGTACCAAACCTGTATCAACTTAAGACATACATAAGTTAACCAAATAGCTAATTACTTGAGCATGTTTTAAAGACTAATTCACATAAAATATGTTGCTGCATATAGCACCTGAGGTTGTGGTTTAAAATTATGTTACACCTTCTTAAATCTGACATTTTCCAGATGTGTTGAGGCAGCAACTAGCTAAATTTTCTACTAGCAGAGCCTTTTATGCCTGACCTGGAAATTGGATGGAAGGCAGCAGTTCATTAGCAACGATCAGGACCCATAAGCAGCTCTGTGATGAAAGGGGCATTGTCCAACAAAATAGCACAGCAAGAGTGAGTTAAAAATCCCTCTCCTTCTCATATGCCACATACTGACAAATTGTCCTAATGATGGCTATTAATGTGCATGTGGGCACATGCACATGCACCCAGCAGATTTGTTTAAAGGCTTTACTATGTTGGCAGTTTTATTTTCAACCCTTAATGATCCCCAGAATAGAAATAGAATTGGTTGTATTCTCACCTTCAGAATTCCGAGATCTTTTTCTGGTACTTACCTCAATCATATCAATTCATATGGTGAAGTTAAGGATGTTTTGCCCCAAAAGGGAGAGACTTTACACTCATTTAAACTGAACCACACTTGCAATTTGGTTGACCACTCATCCAATTTATCAGATTTTTTTTTATTCACCACCATCATAAACAGAGTTATCCACATTTGACATATTTACTACTTAGTATAAGTCAAGATCATTTATGAATAAGTTAATAAGCATTAGTTTCAATACAGATCCTTAAAGGACTCCACTTCTTACATCCATGAACAATATTTATTTCTACTCACCACTTTCTCCTTTGTAGCTAATTCGCAACCTGCCACTAACTGTTCTTTAGAGTTTTAGGTAAGGAACCTTGTTAAACTTCTGAAAATCCAAGCACATAATTGATGTAATCACTGCCATCTATACTGATTTTCTCTCAATAAAGCTGTGGGCCGAGTTATTTGTTCTTTAATAATCATTTCTATAATTTGTCAAGAACAAACATGAAGCTGAGTAGCCTATAATTTCCTGATTCTCTTTTTTAAAAAACCATCACATAGCTACGTTCCAGTCATCTGGAGCTAATGTATAAGTTATACATTTGGCTAGATCAGTCATTCCATATTTACATTAAGAATGTAATGAATCAGGTGGAGGACATCCTGTTACAATGTGTCTCTCAAGTATCCTAGCATACATTATTTTGTTAACTACATTTGCTATTCTGATTTCTCACAAGGGAGAGAGAAGGAAGAGGAAGAGGAAGAAGAGAAGAGAATGTTGAGGTGTTAGATTAGGGTAATTCTAACCCACCCTCATCTATCAAAGGTCACGGGTGATTTTGGTTCACTCTCTCTCTTAACCCAAACTAATTTCATAGGGTGGTTGTTGTGGGGAAAAATAGAGAGCACTATGCATACCATCTTCAGCTCCTGATGGAAAAGTGGAATATAAAACAAATATAGACAGATAATTTTACATGAGACATGAAATATTCAAAGACCTGCATTTCTACTATTGAAGATGGTTCAAGAAACTACTTTTACAACTGTTCAGCAAGATTAATGCAGCTACACATAGGTATTTTTTAATCAGAAGACAGTTGCAAGAAATAATTGGTAATACAATGTTTGGTCTTATACTTTCAGTATATCAGATAACAAGCAATTATTAATCCATAGGAAGAAACTAGAGAGAAAAACAACCAGAGGTCCAAATTTCTCTGCCCTAATATTTTTCAAAATTACTGCTGTGCAAAATCTGCATAATGCCTTAACAGGCAAAATACATGAGAATACACCATATATTAGGTAA